CCCTTCCAACTCAAACTATTCTATGATTTATACTGAGGTTAAAAAGAGAGGTTTTCCTAAACGCCATTTACATAAAGCTCCAGGTTGTTGATGGGTAAACCTTGCTGTGCTGGCGTTGGTGCAGAACCAAATACAATACTACAAACATGAAGGACTTCTGACGTCTGCAGAGTCTGATTCAGCCCCACCTGGCATGCCTGCTCTGAAGAACAGGTGTCGGGTTTTTCTTTTGGCATCTGGTGTGTTCCCTCCAACCTTCGCTTGTTTATTCCCCAAGTGATTGGATGTTCTGTAGTTATTTTCTGACCATAGTCTTGATTCTTGCATTTCCTAGTAGCATCATGAAGCAGCTTGTCAAAAATTTTAAATATTGTTTTTCCTCCTTATGCTAAATGAAAATTTCAGAATAAATTTTTTTTTTTGAGATTGAATGACCTAAAAGCCATTATTTCCCTTTCAAGTTGAAAGCAAGGGAGGACGTGTTTGAAAAGACGGCAGTTTAAGAGCCCTCTTTCTTCAAAGAGCCTGGCCGATGCGAAGATAAACCTTCTAGAAGTGACTTCCTTCCCTGGTTGAAACTCAGTGAGGGGTAACACAGTCAGTTGTGTGCACATCGGTATGATGGTGTGTCTTGAAAATAGTCGAGAACTCTATCCGAAAGAAACTTTTTTTAAACAAAACTCTTTCACTTAAGTATAAAGATATCTTTTTTTTTTTAATAACCATAACTCATTCAACTGTCACCCTGCACAAAGGGTTAAGAGCTCCAAAGGATTTCACCTGTAGATTTCCGTGAAGTGGTAATTCTTCAGGGCCTTTATCTAAACCAACAAAAACTGCAGTGGCTGCTTGAAGACTGACCCTTTATTGTTAAAGAAAAAAGAAGAGATTTAACTGAATTAGTTTGCATAATATACTTGCGTGCAGTTACAGAAACAACAATAGCAGTGTGATACCATTGTTGACAAAGAATGTGAAATATTGCCTTGTAGAGGCTTGAGCCTGTAGGTATGTGTCAGTGGCCGTGTACTGCTGATGAAGAATTTCCCGTAGTTCAAGGAGTAGGAGCCTTTGTTTTTTTGGAACAAGAGGATCTGTGTTCTGCCATCCCCATGTAAGTCGGTGACCCTGGGCTGCTGCACAGTGGCCACTTGGGTCAACCCTTCATTAACCAACCCATAACAAATGCCCATTGTGTTTTCTTGGGAGCGTGGCTGTGCCTCTCAACGTATGCAGTTCTGTATCTTCAGCTCTGTGGTTTTTTTTTTTTGCTAATGTGGGTTGGTGGTTCTTGTCCAATATAGTGAGAATCGGTTATAAAATGATGAATCGTTTTACCTAAGTTCCTTTGTATCTCTTTGTTTGGATGAGTTTGTTGTTGGAACCCTGAACTTCACTTCCATGTTCCTGTTCTCCGCTAATTCGCAACCGGGCACTGCTGCATTGGCTCGCCAGAGTCCTAAAACAGAGCAAATCTTTCGTTAACAGGGAGAGTCTCCGCACAGATTGCGCATCTAAGAGCGAGTGTGGTATAGATCAGAATCAAATTGCTCTGTGCTTCCAAACCTAGACCAAAATTAAAGGAAGCTGAGCTCCTGTAGTAGGAGTTGTACGTATGCCACTTTAATGGCCCTTGACAGTTTTGGTTTTTAAAGCTTGTACCAGACGATTTCTGCGAATGGCTGAAATGTATGACTAGAGCTTTTGGTATCTTTGGTGTTTGGATAGCGTCGTACATACGGCACGCTGACTGACGCCGCTCTGAAAGTAAGTTTCAGAAATGTACCGTTTGTCAATCAGAAGTGGTGGGTTTTGCTCCCTTAGACAGCTTTCTGTAAATCCAAGTCGGTGTTTGCTGGCTGTTGTTCCTAATAATAACTTCAAAAGGATGAAATGTGAAAAAAGTAAATCGTTGTTTATGGGTGTATTTGTTATGCCAACCTGAAAGCTTTAGCTGCAAACCAGATGAATCGGTTCAGGTACATTTTCTGTTTAGTGCCAGGAAGTTAAAAAAAAAGATACAGATTGGGGAGGAAAAGATAAATGGTGATTCTTTCTACTTTGTTTCCAATTTATAGCTTTATATATAATGTGTATGTGTGTACTTCAATACATTTTTTTCATGTAGGCATTATTAAAACTTCACCTTCTAGCAGAAATCCCAGGGCTAGAGTGGGTTTGTTGGTATTAGCAAGGTTCGCTGAGGACATAAACATGCTACAGGACTCTATCAAAGGGATGAAAAGCATCGCTGAAGTATACATCGGAGATTATGTAAAATCCTAATCTCCATAGGGGAAGCTGGGTGGAATCCAACCCAAGAAGTAAATTCGCTTGCGTCATTTATCTTTCTGCTCCTGAGGGTATGTAATTAACTCGCAGATCTGGGGCAAGGCTGAAATCAATGTAAGATTGTGTTTATGCTGGCCAGGTACTGGGTTTTTTCTTTTAAGGTTCTGATAAAACATCACATGAAATGTAATGCCCGTGCAGTAAAACCTGATTTAGATGATCTAGCTGTTTGTTTGTTTCTGTACTGGTGTGGGGGTTTTGTAAACAACTGGGAATTATTGAGTGCTAAAGCAAATGTTTCTTATTGTGTTATGGCACAGGAGGCGCACAGTTGTTGACATCAAACTCTGAGTAAACTTTCAAGGTCTCTTATTAAAATCTTATTTTCTCTTTTTTCTTCCCCATATCACTTTTCAGGTTGCAAAGGTGCTAAAGCATGGCTGACTTGGATCACAACCTCAGTCTCGCGGATGCTCTGACAGAGCCGCCTCCCGAGATTGAGGAAGAAGTGAAAAGGGACTTCATTGCCACTCTGGAAGCAGAGAAATTTGATGATGTGGTTGGAGAAACAGTAGATAAAACAGACTATGTTCCTCTGCTGGATGATGATGATGCAAAAGCTGGGAGCCAGGAACCAAAAAGCAAACCCCATGCAGACGGTATTCAGGTGGAACGTAAGTGTCTAAAGCACAAGACCAAAAAGCTGCATCACTTAAGCAAAAGTGTTCTCTGATGCCTATTGCAATGTCACTAGGCCTGCTAAAACAGGACTTTAATGTGTTCCTGGGTTTAGTTTGAGGAATTTATTTTAAGTGCAAAGATTGAAATCAAATCCTGTTTCTTGCTTTTCTACTCTACCTTCTGTTCAGTTCTTCAGCCTGTAAAATAAGCTATCGTTACTAGTCCACAGAAGATGCTATTATTTATGGTAATATTTTGTGGGCTGCCTTGGGCTTCTCGGAGAAAGCCGTGCCTGAAGTGTGTGACTGCTACACTTGTGTACAGTGCTTTCCGTCTCAACTATGCAAGATACCGCCAGTGGGTAATGGCAAATCCAAGGTGTAAAGATCAATGACTAGCTCTCTCTGGTGAGGTCTGCAGATCAGCGTGTTCCTAAGGGCCACACTGTTGGTGAGCTTCAGATTCAAATGTTTAATAGCGAAGGCTTTGTTTCTCCACTGATCCAAGGGACTACTCACTTTGATTTCTTGCTGCATGTATATGCTGGTTATGTGCCTATATAGTAAAATGTGGCACTGTTTCTGCTGGTTGTGAATGTTTACTAACCTAGTTGATATTTATTAGTGTTAATAGCTTTATCAAAAACTACTTAGAAAAAGGAGAGATTTAAACAGATACTTGTTTCCCTAGCTGAGTAAAAAGGAAACAGTGAGATTTGGGGGTCATCCATTAGCTTGCTTTCTCAGTAAGGAATGTAAATTCTTTGTGATTTTGCCTGTGTAGTGTTTCTCCCCCTCAGCCAAGTGGGGCTAGTTACCTGTGCCAAGTAGTGCCTTGATTTTTTTTTTTTTTAATTTTTTGACCTTGATCTATGCTATATGAAAGATGATGTTTGCTCCCAGATAGGTAACCTGATGACTTTTTTCTTTTTTTTACCTTAATCCTGATGCTCATCAGTGTTGATGGAAGTAAGGATCACCCATCAGAATAAACAGGACCTCCAGGACTGCAGAATGGGGAATTATGCAATGGGGGTTCTTGGTCTGTTTAAGGCACTTAGTTGCATTCTTTAGAAGTATATCAGGTGCCTTGTAATACAGAAAATGTAATATTGAATTTTCCGTACTAACATAGTTCATTAAATGGTAACAAACGAGTAGGAGGGATGGAAGTGGGCAAAGAGATTATAAAACTTTGAGTTTTGGTCAGTTCAGATGTGTATTATTGTGTTCAATTATAGTACTTCTAATGGTAGGTGTGTTGTATTTTAGCATTGCAGAAGTGACAGTAACAGAGAAACATGAAGACTTGTTAACACTTTGCCTATGGTTTAAGGACGTTTTAAAATAACACTTTGTTCTAGAAGTTACAAATTGTAAAACATCTCAGCACCAGAATTTCTTAGTGTTAAAATCATTATGTGATATTGTTTTAAAATACAAGTTCCTTAAGTCGTGTCGTCCCAGACATGTATCCCTTGAACATTACTATCGTAACTCACCATTTCAAATAACTTCAGGTTCTTAAAGCAGGTATAATGAGGCCTTTGGGGTTTGCTTAGTAATTAAAAGTTTCTAAACTGCTGGTTCCTGTGTGCAGAACTGAGGCAGAGATAGTGGGGTGCTAACACAGGTTACCTCTGGGCCAGGCTCTTCATCTGCCTCTCTCGGCTTTTCTAACCCCCCTTCCTCTCCCCCGTGCCTCCCCTGGCTGTACAACCAGCTGTTTTGTCTGCTTGTGCAGAACTTGTTTCCCTCCTGCATGGCAAGAGGGGATGCAACTTCTCGTTCTTGGTTTGGAGATTTGTTTTTCCCTTTTTTGGCATAGAACAGTTACAGAGCATTATCTAAATCTTTGGCAAGATGAAAACAAGACCCTAACTGAAGAAATTGGAGAGCTTGCTTGCCTTGAGTGGATAAGATAATGTTTTTCAGCTTTCCCATCTTGTACCAGGAGGGGAAGGACTGTCAAACTCTGCAGCTTAAAACAGTGTCAATTTACTAAAGACCAGTCTTAGGATTTGATCCTGTTATGTTTAATTTGTCTAATCTGTTTTCCCCTGAAGTGATAAGGATACCTATTTCTTCCATGAGATTTAGTCAATGTTTATAGCTGTTTAAAAAAATATAGTAAAGTTTAAGGTACTTGCTTTTATTGAGGCTATAGAATAAAAGAGCCTGGGCAAGATATTACAAGGTCCTAACGGGGGTGTTAAGTGTTGTTCTAGTGCAGTACTTGGAGTGTAACGTGAAGGTTTTGGGGAAGGGGGACTGCCAGGTGAAAGGCAGCAAGAGTTCTATGTCTCTGGCTCCAAACAGAACTGCAAATAGCTCTCTTTTCCTGAGGGAGAAGAGTAGCTTTCATGGATCAGGCTTTTCAGCCTCAGCTTGTTAATTTATTTATGTTAAAAGGCATGAATGTGTTCAGACAGCATGGTCTCTGCTACTGAGATTGCCTTTCCCCAGTCAGAAGAGGTTTAATCATACGTCCTGTCAGGCTCTAGCTATTCCGTCTCTGCTCAAGGTTTTTCTTTCACTTTTTTCCTGAACCCAGGAGCCGGATTAGACAAGTTTAACAACCAGATGAGCCCCTGTCATGGACTTGGGTGAGCCACATGGGTAGAGAGAGGTGGAAAAGAGGAGGCAGATGTGATGAGCTGTTGTACGGTCACCTACAAATTTGTCCGAGAATAAAACTCTAATAACAGTTAACTTTTAAAATATCATTGGAGAGGCACAGCTTAAGAAGAAAGGGTTTTATTCTTTCCAGCACCTGGCTGGACATCATAATTTGGCAAATTCTGGGGTAATCCTCTTATGGCGTTGTGGGCTTTACATAACGCTGAAGGATTGCCTTGGGTGTGTGCTGTACTGTGTGCACCTAGCTTTCCTCCTAAGTTCCAAGGCTCCAAGGAGTTCAGAGGATCCTGTGGAGCTTCCCGTTCAAGTCACGGAGGCTGTAGTGGCTGTTTTCATTAGGGTGCTCATGTGAAGTAAGGGATACGCATCCTAAAGTGTGAAGGAAGAGATGTTTGGGTGGGAGCGAGTTCCAACTGAAAGGAAAATACTGTGCTTCAGTAGCTTGCAGCAGCGCTCCTGTGAAATGTTTTAGTTCAAGTGAGGATCAGTATTATTTCTGAAATGTTTGATTGTGTTATTGTTGAAGAATTGTGTACAAAGCTAGGTCTGCGGCATAACTTATACACGGTAACATGGCCACGTACACTTGTACAGGGATGTTTGGCATTCTCGTCCTCGCTCTGTTCACAAACTTGATGAGTCTTAGCTTCGCATACAGATTTTTTTTTTTAATACAGAAACAAATACTGAGCATGATGTAAGCGATGAAGTTCTTTTAATTTGCTCTGGGCAATGGCTTTGGGGCTTTTTATGAGCACACGTGTCGCCACGAGATGGCTCTGCTGGCGCTGCTGGACAGACGCTGCGGGACAGCGGAGCAGACCGTCCTCCCCCAGTACGGAAACAAAACGCAGCTCCAGAGCCTGAAACCCAAGGCCAAACCACAACGTTTCTCTTTCCTTTTACCTCCCTTTCCACACTAGGACTAAGTGTCTGTCTTGCAGAAGGCAGCAAGCTTTGCTTTTGCAAAAGAAAGTTTAGACAGTTCATCACATCTGAAGCTGAAGATGGAGAATGCTTCTTATACTCTGAAGTTTCAGGAGGATTAAAAAAAGTCAGCAAATGATGTTAAGATACTTGCATTTTTATCTCATACGATACGTTAAACATCTCCCTCTCAGTCTGTCCATCCCCATTCCTGTTCAAACTTCTGGGCAGTGTAAATCCCTATATTGTCTTTTTGTACAAAAACAAGTATCAAGCATGATCTGAGTGCACGCTCAGATCTGTCAGACCCTTGCCAAATAAACATGAGAAATAGTTGAGAGAGACCCAGGTGATACCAAAGGTGCGCTCCGAAGCTGGGGGTGTTTTGTATGCTCTGCCCCAGATTTCAGCTGCTTTCCCAGCACCTCCTGGCCCAGCTGCAGAATCTGCAGGTTCACTTCGGCGTAGGGCCTTGTACCAGTAATCTGTCAGGAGCGTATTTCTGTGTGTGTGTGTGGGGGGTGGTGCTTTTGTTTAAAGTGCAGATCGTATTGTAAAGCTGCCTGGATCTTGGGTTGAGTTGCTTAACTACATAATATACCCCCATCTCCTTAAGGAGGAAGGAGTGCCTTAAATATTGTCTTGATAAGCCAAAGAGTTCTTAAAACTTTTTCCATGTTTTATGAACTAAAGTGGTGAAATTAATCCAGTTGGTACAGTTCACAAAGCCAAATGAATCTTTTTTCTAGCTTAGTTGCTGCAGACTGATTTAGCGTCGCTCAGGTAATGTTTGTGCTTAATTAGTGAACTTCACTTGGGGTTCTCTAATATCTGGCTATCTTGGATTCCATCCCATCACAGGCAGCCGGTGATGAGACACAGTGATGAAACCTTCAAGCTCCAGCTTCCTCTTTCAGAAGAAGAGGTGTGAGGGTGGGATGGGGGAGAGGGATCTAAGTGGAAGTTGGTGGGGCAGGTCTCCTTTTCCTGCCCTTGGAGGCCAGCCCTGCCCGTGCAGCGGTGCTTCCCTTAGTGCCAGCTGACAGTACGGGCGCGCTGCTGAGAGCTCTGGCGTCCCGAAACACAAAACCAAGCCAGCCCTGGCTTCCATTGAAATTCAAATTCCCTTTAATTCTCATGGCTAGAGGGAGAAGCTTGAGAATCCAAACCGAGTGTTTATGTCATACTGGAATGCCAAAGGGCAAGCAAAACCCTAAGCCTTTCTCTTTTTTCGGTGGCTTTGGGAGATGATGAGCTTGCTTGCTGTTCAGAAGCCATTTTGAGACAGAATATTTAAACATAGGAATTGAAATAGCTTAAACTACTTGTTTAAGAGTTACCAGCTAGTTTTGACAGTATGGCACTCTGTTTATCAGCATTTTTGTTCCCCCCTCATGTTTTTTTGTCTAAACTCTGACAAAGTTGCG